CTCCAAGGCTTGCCTTGGCCACACTGTGTTCCTCCTCTCTCCCAGGGTCAGCCATGCCCCTGGAGGTCTGGATCCTGCGCTCTGCCCTCAGCCTGCTCCTGCTGCTGTCTGCCCCCATCATCACCCTCCTCCTGGAGAGATGCAGCCACAGTGCCAGCAGGGCCAGGCAGCCTGGAGACATCCCTGTCCCCATGGATCTCTGATGTCCCCATGGGCTCCATGCTGTCCCCAGCCTGCTCCCCCATGCTCAGAGCATGACCCCCACACATATGTCAGACTCCCATGACATGACCCCCAACGTGGCCAGGCTCCAGCTGCCATTGGGTTCAAGGCAGCTGGGGCAGCATGCCCAAGGGATGTGCTGCCACTGCTCTGCTTCCCTTGGCTCAGACCCTGCTCTCTGCTCACATTAAAGAGGGATCGTGCACCTTCCTGGCTGCGTTCAACTGCAACACTCACACTGCTGCCCCTCCTGCTCTCAGAATCACATCTTCATCACAGGATCTACCTCTGAATACCAGGACAACACAAGGGGATAGAGTCACGGCTGCAGCCCCGGGCACCCATGCTCTGCAGCTCCTGCATCACTCCAGCACCTCCCTGTGCCCAAGGTGGTGCTGGGCACAATGGGCACATCCCCAGGTGGTTACGGTGTCCCCTCTTGAGGCACCTTGGTGGGTATTGCTGCTGTGGGAGGCGAGTTATAAAGGATTGGTTCAGAATGCACCAGCTGATGTTGCTGCTCTGTATTTGAGAGGGAAGCCAGTGAGCAGAGCTGGGAGAGCTGCTCTATGACTGCCATATGGGGCCATGTGTCCTGCAAGGGAGCTGCTGTTCCCTTTGCCCTGCCACACAAGATGGCAAACATGCTGCCATTGCCCTGGCTGATGAGGCATGGAAAAGTGCTGCTGTGAGGATGGCTGAGGCCATGCAGACTTCCACGGGGTGGCCATGCCTGGCACTCTGCACCCCATGCCCACCCATCCTTGTGCTGGGTCTTCTGTCTCTCAACACGCCATCCCCAGGAGACAGCCCTGAGCAGGGACATTGTGCACGGGGACATCCAGCTGTGGGGCAGGTGGGGATGGGGTCTCAGCATGGCTGGCCCCAACACCCACAGACCATCCACAGCCTTACACTGTAGGCTTTTAGCCATCCCACACCAATACCAAGAAGGAGCCAAAGTGTCTCTTCTCTGCAGCTCCCAGTGCTGACATCTGGGGCCTTGGTGTGCAGTGGGGGTCTCCCTTGTAAGATGGATGCAGGCAGGAGAGGAGCTGCCGTATTGGAAGGCACGAGGCTGCATGGCTGCTTGGAGGGAATAAGGGAAAGGAAAATGGGGTCAAAACTCAGCAAGAGCTGCTTGGAGGCAGCGCTGGAGGGGACGTGGGTTTCAGGCTCCTTCCTGCAAGCACAGTCCCTCACCTCCCATGCCCTCATCAAAGCACTTGTCCCACAGCTTCCTTCAGGCTCATGCATGCATGTTTCACAGCACAAGCCTCCAGGAGACTGTTTCTCAAAGGGAAGAAATTGAGTTAGGTGCAAGGAGCTACTCCCTCAGCCTCCAGCCCTCCCTGGTGATTGAATACCCATTGTGGCATCAGCTGCAGACTTGCTGAGGGTAACCTCAGCATCCTGAGAGTGATACAGATATTGAATAGCAATTGGACTGCATTTGGATCCTTGTTTTACACCACTAATTAGCGTCCTTCAACTAGACTTTGCAGCACTGATCATCCGCGTTGGGGCTGAGCCCTTCCATCAGTTTTCAGTCCATCCTAACCTCTGCTTTTCAGCTCAGACGTCAAGAGTTTCTCTATGACAATCTTAGGGGAGACACTGTCAGAGGCCTTCCTGAAGTGCAGGCAGGCAAGATGCATGCTCTCCCCTTGTCTACCAGGACAGTCGTTTCATCATAGAAGGTTGTTGGCTTGGCCATGCATGGCCTCCCCTTGCTGAATTCCTACTGGCTACTCCTCATGATTGGTTTGTCCTACAAGTGCCTGGAAATAGTTTCCTGGATGAGTTACTACCTCATCTTCCAGGGAGGTGATCTGACTGGCCTTTGCTTCCCCAGGTCCTCCTTCTCGCCATTCAGGAAGAAGCAGAATTTACTTCTCTCCAGTGTTCAGGCTCTTCTTCCACTCGCCTTGACCCATCAAGGATGATGGAGAGTGGCCTTGCAATGACATCTGCCAGCTCCTTCAGCACTCACTCGGTGGTGTCTCCTTGCAGGGCCCACGGCTCAGTTGGCTGAAGCATTCCTCCGCCAGATCCTCCTTGACCAAGGGGACACCTTCCTTGCTGCAGCCCCTGCCCCTGCCTTCTGTGACATGGTGTTCCTTAAGGTTGGTTTTGATAGTACAGACCTATCTCAAGAAGGCAGTTGGTACTTGTGTTTCTTCTCTCTTCTGGGCAGTTGTGGAAATTTCACTCCCATGGATGCTTTTCTTGGCAGTTGTGGATGTTTTACAAAGCAGGACAGAGAGCTCTATCCCAACCACTCCCTCACTCCCCCTCCTGAAAGGGTAAGGGGGAGAAAATAGAATGAGAATGGTTGAAGGTTTGTGATAAGAAAAGGGAGATCACTCAAGGTTTATTGTCACAGGCAAAACGGACTTAGAATAGGGAGAGAAATAAAATTTATTACCTATCATTAAAAAGCTAGATAAGTGAGAAGAAAACAAACAAAAAAAAAAACACATATATATATATTCCCCAAAAAAACACATTCTTCCACCTCCTCCCTCCAGGTGGTGCAGGGAAAGGAGGAATGGGGGTTGCTGTCAGTCCGTAAACCTTCGTCTCCACTGCTCCTTCTCTCTCACTCTGTGCCCCTGCTCCAGTGTGCAGTCCCTCCCCCTGGATGCCGTCCTTCCAACACAATCCTGCAAAGCCTTCCCACAGGCAACAGCTCTTCAAGATCTGCTCCATCATGGTTCCCCAATGACCAGCAGCTCCCCCCAGAACACCTGCTCCGGAGGGATCTCCATGGGCCGCAGCCTCCTCCAGGACACAGCCACCTGCTCCAGCGGGGGCTCCTCCACGGGCTGCAGGGGAACTTGTGCTGCATGCCTGGAGCACCTCCTGCCCTCCTGCTGCACTGATCTTGGGGCTTGCAGGGCTGGTTCTCACTCCGCCCTCTGTCAGCTTCTTGTCATGCAGAAGTTTTTCTTTCCTTCTTAAATATTCCCTCACAGATGTACTATCAGCATCGCTTTTTGGTTCAGCTTTGGCCTGCAACAGGTCCCTTTGGAGCTGTCTGAAACTGGCCCTTTACAAATAGGGCACAGCTTCTGGACTTTTCTCACCAAGGCCACCTCAGTGGACCCTGCTATCAAACCCTGGGAATGTAAACCCAATGCAGCTGCAGAGTGCAGAACACAGTTTGCTTCCCCTTGGAGGGGCGTCCAGTACAACTGCAATGGACGGTGCCAGGGGTGCAAACACAGCCCTGCCATTTGCCATGGAGTAAAGCAGATGGCTGTGGAACAAGGGCAAGCTCCTGAGCACCTGCAGTGCATTGATGGCAGCCTCATGTGGGGCAGCAAAGCTGAGAAAGTCTTTGAGAAAGGGAAGAAATTCACCCAAATTCTCCTGAAGGCTGGTTTTGCCATTGACCAGAGTAAGGACCTGCCCAGGAAATGTTGAACATGGGGGTAAAATGGCAGGATGGCACGTCCCAATGAGAAAGATCAATGAGGTAACAAGTGCATCCCCACCTGCTGTCTAGAAAGAAACACAAGGTCTCCTAGGCCTTGTGGGAATCTGGAGAAGGCATATTGCAGCTTGTAGTGAGCTTCCGAGCCCTCCCTATCAAGTAACCTGAAAGAAGAGCACTTTCAAGTGGGGTTGTGAACAACAAACCCCCTTGGAAGAGATCAAATGGGTGTCCAAAAGGCTGCGGTGGAAACCCTTAGGCCTGTGCGTACAGGCCTTACTGTGCCTCTGGTGCTTCACACTGCAGGCAGGGAACAAGGCCTGGCCAGGAGCCTCTGGCAGGAAAGACCAGGAGAAAGCCGAGGTCATCCTCTGGATTTGTGGAGCTGGGCTAACGAGGATCAGAAGCCCACAATGCTCCAAGTGGAAAACAAGAGTGAAGGGGAATCATTCCCAAAGCAAAATCATGGGGTGTAGGGCTAAGACATTCATCATTCCTTGGGTCTAGTGCATCCTCCGTCACTCCTCATCTTCTGAAAACGTTGAGCCGTATCATACGGTGGACTGTTATAGCCTATTTTGAGACCATTGGTAACAGGGGTATGGGAGCACTGGGCTGGACATTTTTCAGTAGGCACTTTCCTGATTAACAGCAGAGTATCTTGCAAGTGGCGTGGTGCTACCCAAAGAAAGGCCGTATCTCCTATGGGATGCAAGTGCCTGCAGTGCACATTAATAGTTTTCAATGAACTGCATTAATCTTCCTTATGCGGAGTCTCTTTTGCCTGTGCTGTTCACTGGTGAGTGAGGGACAGAGGGAGCATCGGGTGGGAGCTCGGGTGCCATCAGGGTGAAGCCTCTGCCTTTCCTGGTTGTTGTGTGGTCGCATGAGGGTCAAAGTCTGGGTGCAGATGGCTCCCACAGTGCTGTGCTGGCAGAAATATGGCCCCATTTGGGACTCCATGAGTGTTCTTTAGAAGCTGATCCACCTACAGGATGAAGGAGAACACTGTGAGCATCTTCAAGGGCTGATCCAGAGCTCTGGTGTCACTTTGGCCTTGGTGCAGGATTTCCCTGGCACAGCCATTTGTGTGGACATTGAAGAAAAGTACAGTGACATTTTCAGAAGAAAAAGCAGTAAGCAGTGTTGGGGCAAAGAGCAGGAGGGCTTTGCAGGGACAACGCTGCCGCTGAGATATAGGTAAAAACCATATATGCTGCAATGTCTCAGAGGACAGAAATAACAGCAGTGGCTCAACAAAAGCAGCGGATGTAGCAGGGGCTGAGGCAGAGACATTGCTGATGTCTGTGGGCCAGGCTCAGGCGGCCACAGCAAGCCCACAGCACAGGTCCCAGCTGCACTGCAAGCCTATGTCCGACCGTCCCAGGCTCACAGCAAAGCAGACACCTGAAGCAGACGCTGCTCCCCAAAGGCAGCACCCCAAAAGATGCTGGGGCAGGCGCCATGGGCAAGGCTGTCTCCTTCTGGCCCTGCCGTCCTGCTGCTGGTGCTCTGTGAGTTGGGGCATTGCTGGGTGTGGGAGCTGAGGGCTGGAGGGCTGCTGCTGGGAGCAGGACAGGGCTGTGGTGGGCAGAGGGGAGGATGGGGACAGTGTGTGCAGGGCAGACATGCAGCCTGTTGCTTTGTTGAAGGCAGGCTTGAAGGCAGGCTTTGGGGAAGGCAGGATGGCGATTGCTTCCTCCAACTATGATAAAGATCGGAGAAAGGAGTCTGTTTATTTTTGTTCTTTACTGAGGTTTGCTAATATTGCCTCATGCTGAACATTACAAGGAGATCTTGAACACAAAAAGCAGCTAGCTTAAATGATTTTGGAATGGGATCAAAGAAGGGAGGACCAATTGACTAAACAATGTATTTGTATCGGAAAGTCCAAACTGTGGGGTTTGGGGAGGAGATACATGGTTGTGTCAGATTTCACCCCCTCTGAGCAAAACCCTCTTTGCCCCAAGTTGCAGGTGCTGGTGTCATGACTCAGGACCTCTGCAGATCCCCAGGTAAGGATGAATGTAGGGATGCATTACAAAGGGAGCTGTGTGGGGTTGGACATAGGAAGAGAGAGGGGGTTTCTCCTCTGGGTGTGAACTCCTGGGAAGGAATCTCTTCCCTGTGGACAACACAAAGCTTTTTGTTGTCCCACTGCCATTACCAATTAAAAGAGGGGAATCTCTGCCCTTTCTCTCCAGGTGACCTCCCGGCTCCTGCCCTCCTGTTGAACACCTTCAGTGCCCAGGAGGGACAAATGGTTTTGGTTCAGTGTGCCATTGATGGGCGTTCTCCCGTTACAAGAATTGTCTTCTGCAAGGATGGGGTGGAAACATCCAGCCTGAAGGCCATTCAGGGGCAGCTGACCTACAACATGATCATGAATGTCTCACTGGGAAGTGCAGGCAAGTACACGTGTGGGTACCAGCTCAAGGATCAGAGCAACCAAGTGAAGAACTCTGCCCTCAGTGTCCCCCAGGACTTGGAAATCACAGGTAAGATGTGAAACCAGAGCAGGGGAATGTGCTCCATGAAACATAAGAGTGATGGTTGCTGTATATAATCCACAGGTCCACCTCAGCCATCCTATTTTTAATCCCTCACAAAAGCATTTAGACACTGGATCCATGGGGGTCCATGCTGGCAGAGCAGTTGCAGGCACTTTCACTCCTCCCCTGGGGATGGTGCTGGCTGTTGGTGGAGGGATGTGCCCATGGGGCTGTGTGTCCCCTGCCCCACACAGACGTGCTCAGGGCTGTTGTAGGAGATGAGATCAATATGTGCCTAGTCAGGGAAGGAGGTGGCAGTGATGCAGATGCTCATCCTGTCCATTTCTCCTGCCAGGCAGTGTGGCCGGCTCCCCTGCATAATAACAGCCCCAAGGGAGTGACTCCCTCCTGCATCCCCAAAGACAATAACATGGGGCTCAGGTCTGCCAGGCTGCCGTCCCCAGGGCACGGGGTCATGCAGGAACTTCATCAGGCAGGAGGTCTGCCAGCTGCACGGGCACATCCTGCTCCCTGCCTCTCCCCATCACACCCCGCTGCCTTCACACCCTCTGTCCCCCAGCTCCACATGCCCGGATTCTGCACACCCTCCCCACAGGCATGGTGCTGGCAGTGGCGGCCGTCGGCCTCGTCCTCCTGGCTGCAGGCAGCTGGTTTGCCATCAGGAAAGGTGAGGAAGTGGGGGAAAGTGGGAGGAAAGGCTGAGGCCGTGGGGGTCCTCGTGGGGCTGGTGCAGTGGGAAAGGTGGTGGGGGGAACCTGGGTGTGCGCAGCTGGGGCAGACGGTGCCTGGGGGTGATGGCTGTGGGCAGCCCAGCTGGGGAGGCTGCTGAGGGAGCTGGGGAGCTTCAGCCTTCATCCCCCAGCCCCGAGATGGGAGCCAGGGCTGAACAGCACCTTGGCCTGTGCACCTCAGCCCCTGTTCTTCTTGCAGGTGCCTGCAGAGGAAGATGCCCAAGGTGAGCACCAAGTGTTGCTGGCTGTGTGGTATGGGGGAGGGAGTTGGGGCATGACGGGGCCCTGGCGTGTTCTTTGACCAGGGGCAGCGTTCTCTGTTTGTGTGTGGCTGCATTCCCTGTGCTGGAGGCAGGATGAATGGGGCTTGCCATTTGCTGCACTGCAGTTCACCAAATGATGTTGGAAAGCTCGACCCAAGTGCGTTTCTCATGTGGCAACCTCACCACATACGTACACCCTAGAGCCATTCCATTCCTCTCCAGGCAGCAGCACGTTGACAGCCCACAGACGGAAGACACCAACTATGGTGACATCCAGTGTGAGTAATACCTCCTCCCCTGGGGGAAGCCACATGCTCCTCTCCCCATGAGAATCCTGTGCGAGCCCCCATGCAATCCCACCACTTCATTTCCCACTGGGACATACAAAATCCCTGCTCGTTCAAGGGCCAGGTTTCTCTCCAGCACCTCACGTCCTGCTTCTTCCTTGCATGAACAGTGCGTGCGGGCTGCTGGCTGTACAAGGGACATGGCAGCATCCCAGTGCTCCCAGGGACAAAGCCCATTTGCCTGGGGGGTCCTTTCACAGCTGCTGCAGCCCCAGGCTTCAATTCCCCTGCTAGGCCTCTGCTTTTGTCCTTTCTTCACTTCTTCTACAAAGCGATTTCTGTTTTCATGCAGTTGAAAGTACACAGCAACAATGAAAGATGTGGCTCTCTTTCCTTGCGTTTGTGGGGAAAGCCTGTTATAGTTTGCTTTGAAACCACAGGCAGCAGGCAAGGGAGGATGTTGAAGCTGGGTCACAGGTATAGATATATCCCTACCCTACTTGCACCTCACTCGAGTTGCAGCACGACCTTGTTTACCCACGCTTGCACAAAGCAGCTCACAAGGTGTGCTGGCTGTGCAAAGAGAGGAGATGCCACAGAAAGCTGGAAATACACCAAAACCTCAGCATCTCTTCTCCACTGCTGCTTAATGCTCATCCCAGAGTAGGATGATAGGAGGGGCAATGTGGTCAGGTGTTGAGAGCTGACCACAGGCAGCTGCTGCCCAAGGTCAGTGTGAGTTTCAGCTCTCCACCAACAGGCAGCAAGGACTCATCGAATGTTTTTTCCCACAGACTCCACCATCGCCCATGTTCGACGGGACAGGGTGAGTCATGGCACAGCTGTGCACACCTCCTTTCTGCACTCCTGCAGCCTGGTGCACGCTCATTGTGCAGGGCTCACAGTCAGCAGCTGAAGTAACAGGGTTTCTTTTCTCCCTAAAGCCTCGTCCCATGCAGCACATGAGAAACACCACGACATATGCCATGGTGACCCGCACCCAGACCCGATAGCGCTGCCACAGGGCAAGGGCACAGGAGCCTTGTCCACAGCTGCCTTTGCTCTCCTGCAGAGGGCTCCTGCAGCCATAACGTGGGGCTGGGGGTTGCACTTTGGTCTTCTTTGGGGTTTGTTATCACAGGGAAGGGCTGTGAGTGTCTAGCCAAGTCGATGTAGGACTCATACCTCCATCTACAATACATTAATACTTCCAAAATATATGAGCTATACCAAATCTTACTGTGAGTGTATTGATTTTTTCTCAAAAGAAGAAAACCTCTCGCTGTGCTCAGTGGATGATGTGTACACATAAGTTGCATTATAATGTCATGGGGGTATTATTCTACCCACCCACGGAGATGCCCATTTGGACCTACATGGACAGATATCACTGCAGGGATGTCCTCGCCTGTGTGTGTCAATAGTGTGTGTGCACTGCAAATGTGGTTTTGCTTTAATGACAAATACACATCTCTGACTTTGTGTTCCTGATGGCACCACCGTCTCATGCAGCCACACATGGAATGGGACGGAGCAGACAGACAGACACTGAGGCACAAAGGGGTGGTGGAGTCGATTTGAAGGGATGTGAAGAGCCTTGCAGACAGACCTTGCCGAGAACTACACCAGATCCTTCCTCTTTGGGATGGCTTTATTCAGAGCTCACAGATCAGCACGGTGTTCCCCAGTGTTCTCTGCCTCTCTCAGAGAACCAGCTGCATTGCCTCTCCCTTGATCAGCTTTTAGCATGCAGTGGGTGTTGAGAGCAATTGGATTGAAAGTGCTGCAAAACACAAGGGAGAACAAGGAGTTGCCTTGCTCTCGCAGTGCCCAGTATGAGGAAAAGCTGGGAGCATGGAAAGAGGGGGATTCAGCCAGAGCACAGCCACGCAAAGCTCCCAGGCTCCTGCATTCGGATGCACTTTTGGCTTCCATTTGCTCTCCAACAGCCTGCCATCTCGCAATCATCACGTGCATGCTCAGCGTGGAAGGCTGTGCTTGGGCTGAACTCACCTTCATTCTGCCCATCTCATCCACATTGGCATCTGGAGGGAGAACCTGAGTTAGTGTCCAGCCACACACAGCAGGCAGGGCTTCCCCATTCCCCACCACAGTTGCCCCCATGGTCACGGCTTGCCATGGCAAAGGCATCAGCACTTCACACAGTGCCTGGAGAAGGGTGAAGAAGGGACTGGCACTTACAGAAATGGCTGGGGTCAGCAGAAGAGTCTTGAGCACTATCAGCACCACACAGAGGGATAGAGAGAGCAGAGAGAAAAGGTGCTAAATGTCCTCAGGAACATTTCCACAAAACCCCTGTTTCTGGAGTGTGTCTGTGATGAGAAGAAGGGGAGGGCCCCGCCATGCCCACAACTCCCTCAGCACTGTAGGAGGTTTCTGGAGAGTGTGGAAGATAGCTTCCTGACACAGCTGGTTAGTGAGCCTACCTGGGGAGGTGCCCTGCTAGACCTTCTGTTCACAAACAGAGAAGGGCTGGTGGGAGTTGTGGTGGTCAGGAGCTGTATTGGGCAGAGTGACCACGAAATGGTAGAGTTCCCTATTCTTGGCAAAGTCAGGAAGGGGATCAGTAAAACTGCAGTCATGGACTTATGGAGGGCTGACTGTGAGCTGTTCTGGACACTGGTTGGCAGAGTCCCTTGGGAGGTGGTTCTGAAGGGCAGAGGAGTCCAGGAAGGCTGGGCACTCTTCAAGAGGGAAATCTTACTGGCTCAGGAGTGGTCTGTCCCCACATGCCCAAAGACAAGGCGGTGCACAAGTAGCCCGGCCTGGCTGAACAGAGAGTTATGGCTTGAACTTAGGAGAAAAAAGAGGGTTTATAACCTGGGAATTATAATTTTTAATAATTATATTTATATATATATATATATATCCACGCAATGTATCATTATATTATATCATATTACATTATATTACATTACATTGCATTATATCATTATATTAACATATAATATATACTATAATTATATATTATAATATTATATAATTAGTTTATTAATTAATCATATAATTATTTATAAATTATTAATTATAAATTAGTCTTGGAAGGAAAAGAGGTCATGCCTCTCGGGAGGACTATAAGGATGTTTTGAGGCTGTGCATGGACAAAATTAGAAAGGCCAAAGCTCATCTGGAGCTCAATCTGGCTACTGCCATTAAAGATAACAAAATAAATCTTTTTATAAGTACATCAACACAAAAAGGAGGACTAAGGAGAATCTTCATCCTTTACTGGATATAGGGGGGAAACTTAGTCACAAGAGATGAGGAAAAGGAAGAGGTGCTTAATACCTTCTTTACCTCAGTCTTTAGTGGCAAGAGCAGGTGTTCTCTGGATACCCAGTACCCTGAGCTGGTGGAAGGGGACGGGGAGCACAATGTGGCCCTCATAATCCACGAGGAAATGGTTGGCGACCTGCTAAAGCCCTTGGATGTACGCAAGTCAATGAGGCCAGATGGGATCCACCCGAGGGTACAGAGAGAACTGGCGGAGGACCTGGCCAAGCCCCTATCCATCATTTATCAGCAGTCCTGGCTATCAGAGTAGGTCCCAGTCGACAGGCAGCTAGCAAACGTGACGCCCAACTACAAGAAAGGCTGGAGGGTAGGCCCAGGGAACTATAGGCCTGTCAGTTTGACCTTAGTGCCAGGGAAGCTCATGGAGCAGATTATCTTGAGTGCCATCACATGGCACTTACAGTGCAACCAGGTGATCGGGCCCAGTCAGCATTGGTTTATGAAAGGCAGGTCCTGCTTGACGAACCTGATCTCCTTCTATGACAAAGTGACGCGCTGGGTGGATGAGGGCAAGGCTGCGTATGTGGGCTACCTTGACTTCAGCAAGGCTTTTGACACCATTTCCCACAGCATTCTCCTAAAGAAACTGGCTGCTCATGGCATGGACTGGCATATGCTTTTGTTGGGTTAGCCGGTTAGTTGGGTTAGTTAGTTTGATAGCCGGGCCCAAAGAGTTGTGGTGGATGGAGTCAAATCCAGTTGGAGGCTGGTCACTAGCGGTGTCCCACAGGGCTCAGTACTGGGGCCAGTTCTCTTTAGTATCTTTATCGATGATCTGGATGAGGGGATCGAGTGCACCCTCAGCAAGTTTGCAGATGACACCAAGTTATCTGCTTGAGGGTAGGAAGGCTCTGCAGAAGGATCTGGATAGGCTGCAACGATGGGCTGAGGCCAAGTGTATGAAATTCAACAAGGCCAAGTGCCGGGTCCTGCGCCTAGGGCGCAATAACCACAAGCAGCACTACAGGCTGGGAGATGAGTGGTTGGAAAGCTGCCTGGCGGAGAAGGACCTGGGAGTATTGGTTGATAGTCGTCCGAATATGAGCCAGCAGTGTGCTCAGGTGGCCAAGAAGGACAACAGCATCCTGGCTTGTCTAAGAAGCAGTGTGGCCAGGAGGGCTAGGGAAGTTATTGTCTCCCTGAACTCGGCTCTGGTGAGGCTGCACCTCGAGTACTGTATTCAGTTTTGGGCTCCTCACTACAAGAAGGAAATGGAGGTGCTCGAGAGAGTCTAGAGAAGAGCAACGAAGCTGGTGAGGGGTCTGGAGAACAAATCTTATGTGGAGCAGCTGAGGGAGCTGGGTTTGTTCAGCCTGGAGAAAAGGAGGTTCAGGGGCGACCTTATTGCTCTCTCTAGATACCTTAAAGGAGGTTGAAGCGAGGTGGGGATTGGTCTATTCTCCCATGTGCCTGGTGACAGGATGAGGAGGAATGGGCTAAAGTTGTGCCAGGGGACGTTTAGGTTGGATGTTAGGAAAAACTTCTTTACCAAAAGGGTTGTTAGGCATTGCAAAGGGCTGCCCAGGGAAGTGGTTCACTCCCCATCCCTGGAGGTATTTAAAAGATGTTTAGATGTTGAGCTTAGAAATATGGTTTAGTGAAGGACTTGTTAGTGTTAGGTCAGAGGTTGGACTAGGTGATCTTGAAGGTCTCTTCCAACCTAGACCATTCTGTGATTCTGTGATTTCATTACATTTCTCCCCAGCAATTCTCCATCCTGTCTAGGTCTAGCTGGATGGCAGCACAGCCTTCTAGCATGTCAGCCACTCCTCCCAGTTTAGTGTCATCAGCAAACTTGCTGACAGTGCACCCCATTCCCTCATCCAAGTCATTGAAGAATATATTGAATAATACTGGTCCCAGGACCGACCCTTGAGGGACTCCACCAGATACAGGCCTCCAACTCGCCTCCACCCCATTAACCACAACCCTCTGGCTTCTTCCCTTCAGAAAGATCACAGTCCACCTCACTACCAGATCACCCTTCACACACTTCAGGTTAGCTGCGAGGATGCTGTGTGTGGGAGACGGTGTCAAAGGCTTTACTGAAATCAAGATAGACCACATCCACTGCTTTAATATCATCTATCCTCCCACCTATATCCTCATAAAAGGCTCTCAGTTCGGTCAAGCATTACTTCCCCTTGCTGAATGCCCCTAATGACACTTTTATCTTTGAGATAACTAGAGACTACGCCAGGTCTAAATTGTTCCATCAGCTTTGCAGGGATGGAGGTGAGGCTGACTGGTCTATAGTTACCTGGGTCATCCTTCTTTCCCCTTTGGAAGACTGGACTAACATTTGCTTTCCTCCAGTCCTCAGGCACCTTTCCTGATGCCCATGACTTACCACAGATAATGTACAATGGCCTAGCAATGACTTCCACCAAGTCCTTCAGCTCCTGGCATGAGCATCTTGAGCATGCCATCATGACCCGTGGATTTATGGACGTCCAGAGATGTTTATTTTTCTTCTAAACAAAACCACATCTGCAGCACACACACCACTTGGCAGACACATGCAAGTACATCCCTGCAGTGATACCGGTCCCTATAGGTCCAAATGTCCATCTGTGTGGGTGCATGCAAGAGCAGCCCTGTGACTTTATCATGCAGTTTAGGAATACATAATTTCCAGTGAGCACAGGGAGATGGTTTCACATGAGGAATAACCATTGATACAGTCACAATATTACTTGGTACACCTGATATATTTTAGAGGTATTGATTTATTGCAAACTGAGATATGAATCCTTCAACATCTTGACTAGGCACACACAGCCTTTCCCTGTGACAGAAAATCCCAAAGAACCCCGAAGTGCACCCCCCAGCCCAACGGTATGGTTGCAAGAGCTTCCTACAAGACAGTGAGGGCAAACATGGGCAAGGCTCCTGTGCCCTTGCCCTGTGGCAGCGTTATCGGGTCTGGGTGCGGGTCACCGTGGCATACGTTGTGGTGTTGCTCATCTGCTGCATGGGACGAGGCTTTAGGGAGAAATGAAATCCTGTTACTTCAGCTGCTGACTGTGAGCCCTGCATAATGTGCATGCACCAGGCTGCAGGAGTGCAGAAAGGAGCTGTGCACAGCTGTGCCATGACTCACCCTGTCCCGTCGAACGTGGGCGATGGTGGAGTCTGTGGGGAAAAAACACACCATGAGCCCTTGCTGATTGGAGGGGGTAAACCCCTGCAAGCTTTGGGCATCAGCTGCCGGGGGTTAACACTCAATGTCTGACCACATTTCCCCTCCCATCACCCTGATCTAGGACGTGCATTAAGCAGTAGTGGAGCAAAGATGCTGAGGTTTTGGTGTCTTTCCACCATTCTGTGGCATCTCCTTTCTCTGCACAGCCAGCACACCTTGCAAACTGCTCTGTGCAGGCGTGGGTAAACAAGGTTGTGCTGCAACTTGTGATAAGTGCACATCAGGTGGGGATATATCTATAGCCTGTCGCCCAACCACAACGTCCTCCTTTGGCTGCTGCCTGTGGTTTCAGAATGAGCTATAAAATGTTTTCCCCAGCAGGGCAAGGAAACAGAGCGACAGCTTTTGTTGCTGTGATGTGCTTTGTGTAGTTCTTGAAGCAGAAATGACACTGAAGAGAAACTGAAGAAAGGACAAAAGCAGAGGCTGAAGCAGGGGAAATGCAGCCTGAGGCCGGAGCTGGTGTGGAAGGAACCCCCCAAGTAGTGGGACTTTGTCCCTGGGAGCACTGGTATGCTGCCATGTCCCTTGTGCAGCCAGCAGCCACTCTGCATGCAAGGAAGAAGCAGGACATGAGGTGCTGGAGAGAAACCTGGCCTTGTTGAACGGACAGGGATTTTGTATGTCCCAGTAGAACATGAAGTGCTGGGATTCCACCTGAGACACGTGTATGGCTTCCTCTGAGGAACAGGTAGTACTCACATGTGACTTTGCCTTTGTCAGTGATTTCCATCTGTGGGCTGTCAACGTGCTGCTGCCTGCAGAGGAATGGAATGGCTCTAGGGTGTGCGTTTGTGGTGAGGTTGCCACATGAGAAACGCACTTGGGTTGTGCTTTCCTACATCATGTGGTGAACTGGAGTACAGCAAATAGCAAGCCCCATCCTCCCTGCCTCCAGGACAGGGAATGCAGCCACACACACACAGAGAATGCTGCCCCTGCCAAGGAGCACCCGACAGCCCCGCCATGCCCCCAAATCCCTCCCCAATACCCCAAAGGAAGGAGCCCTTGGTGCTCACCTTGGGCATCTCCCTCTGCAGGCACCTGCAAGAAGAACAGGGGCTGAGGTGCACAGGCCAAGGTGCTGCCCAGCCCTGGCTCCCATCTCGGGGCTGGGGGATGAAGGCTGAAGCTCCCCAGCTCCCTCAGCAGCCTCCCCAGCTGGGCTGCCCACAGCCATCACTCCCAGGCACCGTCTCCCCCAGCTGCACACCCCCAGGTTCCCCCCAACTCCTCTCCCACGGCACCAGACCCATAGCAGGACCCACAACGCCTAAGCCTTTCCCCCCTCTTCCTCAACTCCCTCACCTTTCTTGATGGAAAACCAGCTGCCTGCAGACAGGAGGACAAGGCCGACGGCCGCCACTGCCAGCGCCATGCCTGTGGGGAGGGCGTGTGGGATCCAGTTATGTGGAGCTGGGGGACAGAGGGTGTGAGGGCAATGGGGTATGATGGGGAGAGGCAGGGAGCAGGAGGTGCCCCTGCAGCTGGCACAGCTCCTGCCTGGTAAAGCTCCTGCTTGTCCCCATGCCCTTGGGAAGGCAGCACAGCACGCCCACTCCCCATGCTCGGGTTTCAGGGGGTGCAGGAGGGAATCACTCATCTGGGGGTGATGGACTTGCTGGGGAACTCACCACATTGCCTGGCAGGATAAAAGGACAGGCTTAGTGTCTACAGTGCACCCAGATCCTTCCCAGAATGAGACTCAGCCCCATGGCCATATACCTCCACCGACAGCCAGCACCATCCCCAGGGAAGGCATAAAATGCCCGTGGCTGTTGTTTCAACATGGGCCACCATGGATCTGCTGTCTAAATTCCCTCGTGAGTGGTTAAGTATAGCTTGGCCAAGGTGTGCCTGGCGATTAAATATGGCACCACCACTCTCATCTGTCTGTGATTCTGGGGGCTAGAGGATCACACAATCACAGAATGGCCAAGGTTGGAAGGGACCTCTGAATGTCATGGAGCCCAGCCTTCTGCTGAGCAGGATCAGCAAGGACAGACTGCACAGAATGGCATCCAGGTGGATTTGGAAAATCTCCAGAGGAGACTCCACAGCATCTCTGGGCAGCCTGTTCCAGTGCTCTGTCACCCTCCCAGTAAAGAAATGCCCCTCATATTCAGATGGAACTTTCTGTGCTCCCATTTGGGCCTGTTGCCTCTCACCCTTTCCCTGGGCACAACCGAAAAGAGACCAGCTCTCAACACCCTTCCCTCAGATATTTATAGGTATGGATGAGGTCTCCCCTCAGTCTCCTCTTTTCCAGGCTAAACAGGCTCAGTTCTCTCAGCTCCAGACCTCTGACCATCTTTGCTGCCCTCCTCTGGACTCTCTCCGGTAGTTCTATGCCCCTCCTGAACAGGGAATCCCAGAACTGGACACAAAATGCTTTGTGTTCCATGCAGGGAAACGATTCCTTCCCAGGAGCTCTCGCCCAGGGAACAAATTTCCTCTCCCTTGCCATCACCACCCCACACACACCTCTCTTCAGTCACCCATCCCCACGCTCAACCTCACCTGGGGAGCTTCCGATATCCTGGGTGGTCGCGCCAGCTGCTGCACCTTGGGGCACAGAGGGTTTTGCTTAGAGGGAGTGAGAGCTGGGGCACCCACATGCTTGTGCCCATGTCCCTGCTGCTGGGTCCTTGCCATGTCCTCACTGCTGTGTCCTTGCAGAGCTCATGACAGTCATCTCACTTGCCCTGCCATAGGCTCATCAATGCACAGGGCAGACCTTGGAGCATCCCTGGCTCAACCCAGCATCCATCCACATCCCCAGCCCTTGTTCCCTGTGCCTGGGCCCTGCACAGCCCCATGTCTGCAGCAGAGGTGATGCTGCAGGGACACGGGGATCCCTTCAGAGCAGTTTCCTCTCATGGTTGCCTCTGAGGAGAGGGAACACTCCCATGAGGGAACCACCCCAGAGCCTGCTGCAGCACACAGCTCCACTCTCCGCACAGCCATGTAGTGGCAAGGGCCTCTGTCCCTTCTCACCACTCCAGCCCGGGTCCATGACTCACCAGGGACATCCAGGATTTGGCCAGCACTGAGGGCAGAACTCATATGTTTCTTCTCATTCAGCGCCTGGTACCCACATGTATATCTTCCTGCATTTCCTGATGTGATGTTCAGGACCACGGAATAGCTCAGCTGCCCTTGCTGGGCTTTCTGGCTGTACGCCTCCATCCCATCCTTACAGAAGATGATTCGTCTTGCATGTGACACCACATGGAGAATACACTGGAGCACAACTGTGGTATCTGGCTGAGCAGAAGTTGAGTTCATTTGGAGAGCAGGAGCTGGGAGATCCCCTGCAGGAGATACAGCAGTGAAGGGCTGCCATAGGGCAGAGCTCACAGTGGTTGGGTTTCCAAGTGCCCTGGGTCTGGGAGGGAAGGACTCACGAGTACCTGGGAAGCTGCAGATGTCCTGGGAGCTCATGCTGCTACCTGTACCAAAAGGCAGAGAGGGATTTGCTGAGAGGAGCAGTGTCCAGGCTCATCCAGATTTCCCTGCTCCCATATCCCCCCTGACCAAACCCTCACTGCTAAGCAGGCATCATTACATCTGCGTGTTCCCATGCTGTATCTCTTCAATATGCCCTCAAACAATTGAATTCCAATGCCATTTTGGGTGGATGTCTTGTTCCAGGCAAGTCCCATATCTCCTTAAAAAATTCAGCAGTCCTAGAGTCTCAGAACAACACGCCAGAAAATTTATGGTGCTGGAGAAGCGTGTCCCTTGCTCAAATGTGTATTATACTTGGAGGAAGTCATCCCCATCCTGCTTTCCACAGAGCAACTCTGCCCCACACTGCTGCACCACAGCCCCACACATACTGTCCCCATCCTCCCCTCTGACCACCACTGGCCTGTCCTGCTCCCAGCACCAGCCCTACACCCCATAGTCCCCACACCCAACAATGCCCCAACTCACAGAGCACCAGCAGCAGGATGGCAGGGCCAGAAGGAGACAGCCTTGCCCATGGCACCTAGCCCAGCATCTTTTGGGGCACTGCTTTTGGGGAGCAGCGTCTCCTTCGAGTTTCTGCTTTGCTTCGAGCTAGGGACGGTGGGGCAGAGGCTTGCGGTTCAGCTGGGGGCTGTGCTGTTAGCTTTCTGTGGCCACCTGAGCCTGGCCCACAGCAAGAGGCTCTCATCAGTGGGGGCCTTGACTAAGAACCTGCTACATCCGCTGCTTTTGTTGAGCCCCCACTGTTTTTTCTCTCCTCTCACACACTGCAGCACACGCTTGTGTCCCTGTAAAGAGCTCCTGCCCCTTGACCCAATAGGATTTGCCCTCTTCTGACCACATCACTCTGCTTCTCTTCAATGTCTGCACAAATTATGGAATCTGGGGAATCCTGCACCAAGGCCAAAGTGACTTCAGAGCTCTAAGGGCATCTGCCAAGGCTGTGGGCAGATTTTTCCTTCATCCTTTTGGTGAATCAGCTTATGAAGAACTCTCAGGAAGTCTCAGGTGGGGCCATAGTGCTGCCAGCACAGCACTGTGGGAGCCATCTGCACCCACACTTTGACCCTCGTGCGACCACACAACAACCAGGAAAGGCAGAGGCTTTGTCCTGAAGGCACCTGAGCTCCCCCATGCTGCTCTCTCAATTCTCTTCCTCGAAGGAAGGCGCTGAGCCAAGGGAAGCAGAGCAGTGGCAGCACATCCCTTGGGCATGCTGCCACAGCTGTCTTGAACCCAACAGCAGCGGGAGTCTGACAAATGTGTGGGGGTCATGCTCTGAGCATGGGGGAGCAAACGGGGGACAGCATGGAGCCCAGGGGGACATCAGAGCACCACGGGGACAAGGAAGTCTCCAGGCTGCCTGGCCACACTGGCACATTGGCTGCATCTCTCCAGGAGGAGGGTGATGATGGGGGCAGACAGCAGCAGGAGCAGGCTGAGGGCAGAGCGCAGGATCCAGACCTCCAGGGGCATGGCTGACCCTGGGAGAGAGGAGGAACACAGTGTGGCCAAGGCAAGCCACGGAGGGCGGCTGTGCTGGGAAGGGCTGATGAGCAATGTCTCACCTCTGGAAGGGAGCTGGGCCTTGTGTGAGGGGCTGCTGCCTGTGGGAGACATGAACATGCTGTGAGTTTATGGAGCTCTTTGCTGGGACAATCCCAGATGCTGAGCAGACCCTGAGCTCGTGTCTTGCTTTCTTGAGTACATGGTGAACATTAACAACTGAGCTCATGTAAATTCCCAGACACAGGGTAGTAAAAGTGTGAGGGAGAGCTTTGAGCAGTAGTGGCACAGGCCAGGGCCTACTGATATCCCCAGCCCTTGATTTTTTTTACATGGCCACTGCAGAACCCCATGTCTCAGCAGAGGTGCTACTGCAGATACAGGGGAACCCTTGAGGCACTTCTCCATCCAGGGTCTCCTGTGGAGTAGAGGAAACACTCCTGAGGGGTAATCACTCCTGAGCCATGCCCTGTATGATGAAGCACGCAGCTCCAGATTCTGCACTGCCCACATCCCACTGACCCCACAGCCCTGATGAAGGGTCGTGTCTCACCTGGCACAGACAGGGTCCAAGGAGCACTGAAAGGAGAGCACCCAAACTGACTGGGGACTGGCCATGAGGACACGGAGCATTCCCTTCATTCCAAGGGAAGTCTGCGGCCTATCAGAGCCTGGATCAGAGATATCAAAAGGACACTCATCAGCCTGCTGTGCTTCACATACTACAATCTACTGACGATATTGCAGACAGCTGTGGAGGAAGCTGTGTCCTGTACTCTGAGGGGAATGAAGAAAGCTTTCAAGGCCTTGGGACGGTTGGTGAAAGAGTCTGGAGCACAAGTCCCTTTCTCTTCCCTCCATCCATTCTGGGGTGGTGACATTGGATGGAATAGAAGCATCTGGTCCATAAATGCTTGGCTCCCTGACCTGTGCTACAGGCCCAACTTTGGGTTATTTGGTAATGGCTGGTGTTATAAGACAGCAGGGCTGAGAGGAATACTTGGGAAAGGTTTATCTCACAGGGTCCAGAGGGTTCTGGGACAGCAATTAGCAGGGCTCTTTTCGAGAGCTTCAAGCTATATCCGCAGGCTAATGGGCTTGTAGCAGGGCTTGTAGCAGAGGGGCGGTGCCCCCGCAGAGATGTTCATCTGATTCGTGTCAATATGGAACAATGCTAGGGCCGCATGGTATGATGAATGTGACCTTCTGTCTTACATACCCTTGTGGAACCACAAGTCTGGTTAATGACTTGGTTAATATACATTAACCAAGAGTGGTTAATGTATATCGTTCTTGCATCTTGCAAAGGAATGCTCCAGCAATTCGTGTCAGCAGAGAGCTTGAAGGGAAATGTATTTGTAGGCTTTTCCTTGAAGTCTCTAATATCTCGGGGGACAGGGGGGGAGGGTGTTCAGAATAACTGCTAACTATTATGACTATTGCATGGGACTCTATGCAAGTCTCTCATATCTGGCCAGGAGATTAAGGAGAAGGGGAAAGGTGAAGAACGACTAAAAGACAAAGCTTGCAGGGGACTCTGTACAAGTCTCTGACATCCAGCCAAGTAGGACAAAGAAGAAGGACAAGAGGGAGGAAGACTATGAGCCTTCAGCATGACAGACCCCCAGAGGGACCACCAGAGACTGATACGCATGCTCCAGTTGGAGGGTTTGGATTCCGGAAACTAATTATAATAACCCTGGTTTTTCAGAAGTGGTAATGAATATGTATTAGCCTAGAGCATAAAAATCAGCTGCTTGATGTAACTGGTGTGCACCTTGGTGGAGCAGAGGCTGCCGGTGCACCCAGCGCTCTTTGCTTACCTCTATTCCTTTAAAAAATTGTAAACTTTGATTATAGTCCTATTTTGAAGACTGAGCCATTTATTACAACAATAATAATAACAACAGTGATGATAATAGTACCACTGGCTGTCAGAGGGGCTCAGGCTGCACAGCATTGCACAAGCAACAAGAGTACAGAGGCTGAGCATCGGCAGGGGATGCAGCATTGGAAGGGACAGAAATGTATTTGGGAGAAGCTGTACATGCTTCCTAGATTATTGGAAAGCTGCAAAACTACGAGACAAATCTGGCAAAGGGAAAAGGGGCAGGAGGCCATGTAGGAAGAATACTGCCCTTGAGATACAGGTAAAAACAGCAAGAGTTGCAGTGTGTGAGAGGACAGAAATAACAGCGGGAGCTCAACAAAAGCAGCGGATGTAGCAGGGGCTGAGGCAGGTTACTCATTGATGAGAGCCTCTGGCTGTGGGCAAGGCTCAGGCGGCCACAGAAAGCCCACAGGGCAGCTCCCAGCTGCGCTACAAGCCTCTGTCCCACCGTCCCCAGCTCAGAGCAAAGCAGAAACTCGAAGCAGACGCTGCTCCCCAAAAGCAGCGCCCAAAATGATGCTAGGGCAGGTGCCATGGGCAAGGCTGTCTCCTTCTGGTCCTGCCATCCTGCTGCTGGCCCTCTGTGAGTTGGGGCATTGCTCGGTGTTGGGGCTGAGGGCTGGAGGGCTGTTGCTGGAGGCAGGATAGATCTGTGGTGGGTACAGGGGAAGTTGCGGATAGCGTGTGTGGGGCAGGCGTGCAGCACTGTGGGGCATCGTTGTTTGGGGGAAAGCAGGAGGCCATGACCCCTCTAAGCAAAGCTCTCTCTGCCCCATGCTGCAGGTACTGGCGTGACCACCCAGGACATCTGCAGCTCTCAAGGATTTCAGGTGCATGGAGGTGGGTCCCAAAAATGAACCTGTCCTGGGGAAGGAGGTGGGAAGAGAGAAGGGGATTATTCCCTCGCAGTTCCCCCTGGGAAGCCCCAGGAGAGCAGATTCTTCCAGCCTTGGCATGCAGTTGGTTTTGTCACCTGGCCATCACTAATGCTTGCCTGGGGAATCCCTCTGCCTTCTCTCCAGGTAACGACCAGACTCCAGTCCTGTACCTCAATGCTTCCAGTGCCAAGGAGGGGGAAATTGTGCTGCTTCAATGTATCCTCGATGAGCAGTTTCCTCCTACACGAGTTGTCTTCTGCAAGAATGGGCTGGAGGAGTTCAGCCTGAAAGCCCAGCAGGGCAGGCTCATCTACGCTCTGGTCCTGAACATCAACTCCAGAAGTGCTGGGACGTACACGTGTGGGTACCAGCAGAGGAACAAGAAAAACTATGTGAGGAACTCTGCTCTCAGTGCTCCCCAGACCTTGTCTGTGGCAGGTGAGACACGGCCTTAGGGTGGTAAGGGTAGAAGTTTTCAGAAAACTGCTGGGGCTGGTGCTGTGTGCTGCAGCAGGCAGGGCATGGCTCTGGGGTGGTTCCCTCTCAGGAGTGTTCCCTCTCTTCAGAGGCAGCCCCTACAAAGAGAAAGCTGCTCTCAAGGGCTGTCCCCATCCCTGCAGCAGCAGCTCAGCTGAGGCATGGGGCTGTGCAGTTCCCATGCAGAGAGAGCAAGAGCTGGGGATGTTGATGGACCCTGGGTTGAGCCTGGCATGTTCCAAGATCTGCCCTGTACATTGATGAGCCTATGGCAGGGGAAGTGGTGTGATTCTCATGAGACAGGCTATAGCCTGTACATCAGCAAGAGTGTGGGATGGTTCCAGAAGGGAGAGCACAGTGGTGCTGGTTTGAGACACAGAAAGGTGCCCGCTCAGCAAGAACAAACTGGAAGAAAAAGAACTCGGGTTTGGCGGTGTGCCAGGTCTTGGCCCCACTAAGAAAAACCCTTTTTGCCCCAAGGTGCAGGTGCTGGTGAGACCACCACTGACATCCACAGCTCCAATGGTGAGGACAAGCATGAGGGTGTGCCGTTTACATGGGCATGTCCTGCTCCCTACCTCTCCCCATCACACCCCGCTGCCCTCACACCCTCTCTCCCCCAGCTCCACATGCCCGGATCCCACACACCCTCCCCACAGGCACGGTGCTGGCAGTGGCGGCCGTCAGCCTCGTCCTCTTGTCTGCAGTCAGCTGGTTTGCCATCAGGAAAGGTGAGGGAGAGGGGGAAGAAGGAGGGAAGGCTGAGGCTGTGGGGATCCTGCTGCGGGACTGGTGCGCTAGGAAAGGCGGTGGGGGGAAACCTGGGTGTGTGCGGCTGGGCCAGACGGTGCCTGGGGGTGATGGCTGTGGGCAGCTCAGCTGGGGAGGCTCCCGAGGGAGCTGGGGAGCTTCAGCCTTCATCCCCCAGCCCCGAGATGGGAGCCAGGGCTGGGCAGCACCTTGGCCTGTGCACCTCAGCCCCTGTTCTTCTTGCAGGTGCCTGCAGAGGGAGATGCCCAAGGTGAGCACCATGGGATGGTGGCTGTGGGGTATGGGGGAGGTAGTTGGGGGCATATTGAGGTCATGGGGTGCTTCTTGACCAGGAGCAGCATTCTCTGTGTGTGTGTGGCTGCATTCCCTGTGCTGGGGCATGGAGGACGGGGTTTGTCAAGGCGTGGATTTCAGCTCCATACCTCATGTAGGAAAGCACCACCCAAAAGAGTTTCTCACAGTGCCTCTTGTCCACAAATATACACTCCAGAATGATTCCATTCCTCTCCAGGCATCAGCACGTTGGCAGACCACAGATGGAAGACACCAGCAAAGGCGAAGTCCAGTGTGTGTACTACCTCCTCCCTTGGGGGAAGCCACATGCCCCTCTGACCATGGTCACCCCTGCTTGTACATTCCCCGTGCAATCCCAACACTTCATTTCCCACTGGGACATACAAAATCCCTGCCCGTTCATCAAGGCCAGGTTTCTCTCCAGCACCTCATGTCCTGCTTCTTCCTTGCATGCAGAGTGTGGCTGCTGCCTGCACAAGGGACATGGCAGCATCCCAGTGCTCCCAGGGACAAAGCCCATTTGCGTGGGGGTTCCTTCCACACCAGCTCCAGCCCCAGGCTTCAATTCCCCTGCTCCAGCCTCTGCTTTTGTCCTTTCTTCAGTTTCCTGTCAGAGGAATTTCTGCTCAGAGAAGCAAAAAGCACCGCGCAGCAATGAAAGATGTGGCTCCTTGCCCTGGTGGGGAAAACATTTTAGAGCTTGCTCTGAAACCACAGGCAGCAGCCAAGGGAGGATGTTGTGGTTGGGTGACAGGCTATAGATATATCCCCACCCTACTTGCACCTCACTCAAGTTGCAGCACAACCTTGTTTACCCACGCCTGCACAGAGCAGCTCGCAAGGTGTGCTGGCTGTGCAAAGAGAGGAGATTCCACAGAAAGCTGGAAATACACCAAAACCTCAGCATCTCTGCTCCATCGCTGCTGCTTAATTTTCATCCCAGTTCAGGGTGATGGGAGAGGAAATGTGGCCGGGCTTTGAGAGCTGACCTCAGGCAGCTGCTGACCAAGGTCAGTGTGAGTTTCAGCCCTCCACCAACAGGCAGCAAGGGATCATGGTGTGTTTTTTTTGCCCCCACAGACTCCACCATCACCCACGTTCGATGGGACAGGGTGAGTCATGGCACAGCTGTGCACAGCTCCTTTCTGCACTCCTGCAGCCTGGTGCACGCACATTGTGCAGGGCTCACAGTCAGCAGCTGAAGTAACAGGGTTTCATTTCTCCTTAAAGCCTCCTCCCATGCAGCAGATGAGCGACACCACGACGTATGCCACGGTGACCCACACCCAGACCCGATAGAGCTGCCACAGGGCAAGGGCACAGGAGCCTTGTCCACAGATACCTTTGCTCTGTTCAAGAGGGCTTGTGCAGCCATAACGTGGAGCTGGGGTTGCACTTTGGTCTTCTTTGTTTGTTTTGTTTTGTTTTTTTTTTGTCACAGGGAAGGGCTGTGAGTGTCTAGCCAAGACGATATAGGACTCATACCTCCATCTACAAGACATAAATACTTCTAAAATATATGAGCTATACCAAATCTTACTGTGAGTGTATTGACTTTTTCTGAATAAAAGAAAACATCTTGCTGTGCTCATTGGATGTCGTGTAAACCTAAATTGCATTATAATTTCATGGGAATGTTATTCTACCCACCCACGGAGATGCCCATTTTTGACCTACATGGGCAGATATCACTGCAGGGATGTCCTCGCCTGTGTGTGTCAATAGTGTGTGTGCACTGCAGATGTGGTATTGCTTTGATGACAAATACACATCTCTGACTTTGTGTTCCTGATGGCACCTCCGTCTCATGCACCCATATCAGAAATGTGACGGAGCAGACAGACAGACACCAATACACAAAGGGCTGGTGGTATCGATCTGAAGGGATGTGAAGAGCCTTGCAGACAGACCTTGCCGAGAAGAACTACACCAGCTCCTTCCTGTTTGGGGTGGCTTTATTTAGAGCTCGCAGATCAGCACGGCTTTCCCCAATGCTCTCTGCCTCTCAGAGAACCAGTTGCATCTCCTCTCGCTCAGCTTTAGGCATGCGGTGGGTGTTGAGAGCAGTTGGATTGAGAGAGCTGCAAAACACAAGGGAGAACAAGGAGTGGCCTTGCTCTCACGGTGCCCAACATGGGGAAATGCTGGGAGCATGGAAGGAGGGGGATTCAGCCTGAGCACAGCCACGCAAAGCTCCCAGGCTCCTGCATTCGGATGCACTTTTGGCTTCCATTTGCTCTCCAACAGCCTGCCCTCTCACAACCATCACGTGCACGCTCAGCCTGGAAGGCTGGGCTTGGGCTGAACTCACCTTCACTCTGCCCATCTCATCCACGTTGGCATCTGGAGGGAGAACCTGAGTTAGTGTCCAGCCACACACAGCAGGCAGGGGTTTCCCACCCCTCACCACAGTAGCTCCCATGGCCTGTGCTTGCCATGCAAAGGCATCAGCACTTCACACAGTGCCTAGAGGAGAAGGGTGAAGAAGGGACTGGAACTTACAGAAATGGCTGGGGTCAGCAGAAGAGTCCTGAGCGCTGCCAGCACCACACAGAGGCATAGAGAGAGGAGAGAAAAAATGTCCTGAAGGTCTGCAGCACCACTGCCACAAAGAAGCACAGGGCCATTTGGGCCATTCCCATGAATGATGCTATAATCCTTCCAGGATTCAGCTGAAGTCCACCCCACAGCAAGCCACTTCTCCCATGAGTTCTGCACAGGGAATGCAGTCACACAGGACAAATCTGCCCCTGGCCATGCAGCGCCCCAGGGCCCTGCCATGCCCCCCACTCCCTCCAAAAAACCCCACAGCCAGCAGCCCTTGGTGCTCACCTTGGGCATCTCCCTCTGCAGGCACCTGCAAGAAGAACAGGGTCAGAGGTGCACAGGCCAAGGTGCTGCCCAGCCCTCGCTCTCATCTTGGGGCTGGGGGACAAAGGCTGAAGCTCCCCAGCTCCCTCGGGAGCCTCCCCAGCTGAGCTGCCCACAGCCATCGCCCCCAGGCACCGTCTGCCCCAGCTGTGCACCCCCAGGTTCCCCCACCACCTTTCCCACTGCACCAGCCCTGCAGCAGGACCCCCATGTCCTCAGCCTTCCCCCCACATTCCCCCACTCCCTCACCTTTCCTGATGGCAAACCAGCTGCCTGCAGACAGGAGGATGAGGCCGACGGCCGTCACTGCCAGCACCGTGCCTGTGGGGAGGGCATGCTGGATCCGGGCATGGGGAGCTGTGGGAGAGAGTGTGTGAGGGCAGTGGGGTGTGATGGGGAGAGGCAGGGAGCAGGACGTGCCCCTGCACCTGGCACAGCTCCTGCCTGGTAAAGCTCCTGTTTGTCCCCATGCCCTGGGGATGGCAGCACAGCACACCCACTCCCCATTCTCGGGTTTCTGGGGGTGTAGGAGGGAATCACTCACCTGTGGTTGATGGACTTGCTGGGGAACTCACCACATTGCCTGGCAGGACAAAAGGACAGGCTTAGTGCCTACAGTGCACCCAGATCCTTCCCAGAACGAGCCTCATCCCCATGGCCACATCCCCCCACCGACAGCCAGCACCATCCCCAGGGAAGGCATAAAATTGCCCGCGGTTGTTGTGCCAACATAGGTCTCCATGGATCTGCTGTCTAAATTCCCTCGTGAGTGGTTAAGTATAGCTTGGCCAAGGTGTGCCTGTCGATTAAATATGGCACCACCACTCTCATCTGTCTGTGATTCTTGGTGCTAGAGGATCACACAATCACAGAATGGCCAAGGTTGGAAGGGACCTCTGAAAGTCATGGAGTCCAGCCTTCTGCTGAGCAGGATCACCTGGGACAGACTACACAGAATGGCATCCAGGTGGGTTTGGAATATCTGCAGAGGAGACTCCACAGCATCTCTGGGCAGCCTGTTCCAGTGCTCTGTCACCCTCCCAGTAAAGAATTGCCCCTCATATCCAGATGGAACTTTCTGTGCTTCAGTTTGAGCCCATTGCTTCTCGCCCTTTCCCTGGGCAGACCAGCACCATTCTCTCAACACCCTCCCCTCAGATATTTATAGACATGGATGAGGTCTCCCCTCAGTCTCCTCTTTTCCAGGCAAAACAGACTCAGTGCTCTTGGCTCCGGTCCTCTGATCATCTTTGCAACCCTCCTCTGGACTCTCTCCAGTAGTTCTATGCCCCTCTTGTACAGGGAATCCCAGAACTGGACACAAAATGCTTTGTGTTCCATGCAGGGAAGTGATTCCTTCCCAGGAGCTCACACACAGAGAACAAATTCCCTCTCCCTTGCCATCACCACCCCACACACTCCTCTCTTCAGTCACCCATCCCCACGCTCAACCTCACCTGGGGAGCTGCCGATGTCCTGGGTGGTCACGCCAGCAGCTGCACCTTGGGGCACAGAGGGTTTTGTTTAGAGGGAGTGAGAGCTGGGGCACCCACACGCTTGTGCCCATGTCCCTGCTGCTGGGTCCTTGCCATGTCCTCACTGCTGTGTCCTTACCCAACTCATTACAGTCATCCCAGTTGCCCTGCCATAGGCTCATCAATGTACAGGGCAGACCTTGGAGCATCCCTTCCTCATCCAGCATTCATCCACATCCCCAGCCCTTCCTCTGTGAATGGGCCCTGCACAGCCCCATTTCTGCAGCAGAGGTGATGCTGCAGGGACACAGGGATCCCTTGAGAGCAGTTTTCTCTCTAGGGGCTGCCTCTAAGGAGAGGGAACACTCCCATGAGGGAACCACCCCAGAGCCTGCTGCAGCACACAGCTCCAGCCTCAGCACAGCCATGTGGTGGCAAGCGCCTCTGTCCCTTCTCACCACTCCAGCCCGGGGCCATGACTCACCAGGGACATCCAGGATGCGGCCAGGACTGAGGGCAGAACTCATATGTTTATTCTCATTCAGCGCCTGGTACCCATATGTATATCTTCCTGCACTTCCTGGTGTGATGTTCAGGACCACGGAATAGCTCAGCTGCCCTTGATGGGCTTTCTGGCTGTACTCCTCCATCCCATCCTTGCAGAAGATGATTCGTCTTGCATGTGACACCACAGGGAGAATACACTGGAGCACAACTGTGGTATCTGGCTGAGCAGAAGTTGAGTTCATTTGGAGAGCAGGAGCTCGGAGATCCCCTGCAGGAGACACAGCAGTGAAGGGCTGCCATAGGGCAGAGCTCACAGTGGTTGGGTTTCCAAGTGCCCTGGGTCTGGGAGGGAAGGACTCACGAGTACCTGGGGAGCTGCAGATGTCCTGGGAGGTCATGCTGGCAGCTGTACCAAGGGGCAGAGAGGGATTTGCTGAGAGGAGCAGTGTCCAGGCTCATCCAGATTTCCCTGCTCCCATATCCCCCCTGACCAAACCCTCACTGCTAAGCAGGCATCATTACATCTGCGTGTTCCCATGCTGTATCTCTTCAATACGCCCTCAAACAATTGAATTCCAATGACATTCTGGGTGGATTTCTTGTTCCAGGTAAGTCCCATATCTCCTTAAAAAATTCAGCAGTCCTATAGTCTCAGAACAACACGCCAGAAAATTTATGGTGCTGGAGAAGCGTGTCCCTTGCTCAAATGTGTATTATACTTGGAGGAAGTCATCCCCATCCTGCTTTCCACAGAGCAACTCTGCCCCACACTGCTGCACCACAGCCCCACACATACTGTCCCCATCCTCCCCTCTGACCACCACTGGCCTGTCCTGCTCCCAGCACCAGCCCTCCAGCCCTCAGCCCCCACGCCCTGCAATGCCCCAACTCACAGATCACCAGCAGCAGGACGGCAGGGCCAGAAGGAGACAGCCTTGCCCATGGTGCCTGCCCCAGCATGTTTTGGGGCGCTGCTTTTGGGGAGCAGCGTCTGCTTCGAGTTTCTGCTTTGCTCTGAGCTGGGGACGGTGGGGCAGATGCTTGCGGTTCAGGTAAGGGCTGTGCTGTGGGCTTTCTGTGGCCACCTGAGCCTGGCCCACAGCCAGAGGCTCTCATCAGTGGGGGCCTTGCCTAAGAACCTGCTACATCCGCTTCTTTGGTTGAGGACCCGCTGTTTTTTCTCTCCTCTCACACACTGCAGCAAAAGCTTGTGTCCCTGTAAAGAGCTCCTTCCCCTTGTCCCCACTCAGATTTGCCCTCGTCTGACCACATCACTCTGCTTCTCTTCAATGTCTGCACAAATGATGGAATCAGGGGAATCCTGCACCAAGGCCAAAGTGACGCCAGAGCTCTGGGGCAGCTGCCAAGGCTATGGGCAGATTTCTCCTTCATCCTGTTGGTGAATCAGCTTATGAAGAACTCTCAGGGAGTCTCAGCTGGGGCCATAGTGCTGCCAGCACAGCACTGTGGGAGCCATCTGCACGCACACTTTGACCCTCGTGCGACCACACAACAACCAGGAAAGGCAGAGGCTTTGTCCTGAAGGCACCTGAGCTCCCCCATGCTGCTCTCTCAATTCCCTTCCTCGAAGGAAGGCGCTGAGGCAAGGGAAGCAGAGCAGTGGCAGCACATCCCTTGGGCATGCTGCCCCAGCTGCCCTGAACCCAACGTCACTGGGAGT